CATGAGTTTGATTTGATTTCAAGTTTTGTAAATAGGTGAAATCATGAACAGTTTAGAGAGAGGGGAGAGAGAGGGAGAGAGAGGGAGAGAGAGTGGGAGAGAGGGGGAGAGGGGAAGAGAGAGGGGAGAGAGAGGGAGAGAGGGGGAAGAGAGAGAGAGATAATAGCATACATGAATAGGGGATGGACATTCCAGGGACAGGAGAGGGAGATTTAGACAGAGAAAGAGAGGGATGCTGGAAGTTATGTGACGTATGTGCATTATTACAATGTTAATTGTTTTGGGACTGTTGTTCGTCGTAGATGGCGGTACTGCCAAGTGTATGTATGTTGACTTTAAACTTTTGTCTAAAGTGTTGGCTGAAAAAATAAAAAAATGTATGAGAAGAGGTGATACATGTAGATCAAGTGGGATTTTTGCCTGGTAGGAATATGGGAGAGGCTGGAGAATTATTGACGATGTCAAATTTTACACACATGCAGGTATACAATGTACAGGGTTTATTAGTAACAGTTGATTTTGAGAAAACTTTCGACACCGTCTCACAGTCATAATATTTCTTAATGAACAAATATGGTTTTGGCCCATATTTTTGTAGATGGGTAGAAGTATTGTATAATAATGCAGCTAGCTGTGTCATGAATGGGGGCTTTTCCACAGGCTATTTTGAAATAGGCAGAGGAGTAAGACAAGGAGATTCTTTGTCTCCATATTTATTCTTGTTAATCATAGAAACATTAGCAGTGGTTATTCCCAATGAACAAATAAGAAAATGTATTTTGATAGGCAATATAGAGACGTAGATAATAATGTATGCAGACGGTTGTTCAATTCGTTTGAAATATACAGAAGATATGAAAATCTAAGAAAAAATAATGGATTCCTTCTCTCAGGTATCTGGATTAAAAATGAATAGGAACGAAACACAGATTATGAAGCCGGGGTCTTTTAGTCACGGTAATGAAATGTTGGCCGGTATTACATTGGGTAAGATGGTTTCTCTGGTAAAGGTGCTAGGGATATACTTCTCTTTGGATATTAATGTTACAGAAAAAAATGAATTATAAAGAAATACTGAGCAATATAAAAAGATTGTTAGGGTGCAAGGTGGAAGCAACAGGATTTAACACTATTTGGGAAATTCAATTGGTTAAAGTTTTGCAATCCCTAAATTAAAATGTCCGTATATACTACCAAGGGTTTTCAAGGAAGTTGAGACGATATGCTTTAGATTATATGGCATGGCCATGATAATATAAAAAGGAATGTTCTGTATTTGAACTATACGATACTGGGGGATTGAAATTGTTGATTTTCAAGTACGTGATTTATGCACAGCGTGTAGTGTGGATTAAAAGACTTCTTTGTGGCCATATACTGACATGAAATGGAAACAATTTTTCGAATATATTCAGACCCGTAGGAGGAAGGTTAATATTTCTTTGCAATTGTAATTCTAAACCAATCAATATCAAAGCACCTAATCTCTACTAGTACTAATATCTGAAATTATTTAAAAGAGAAGGAATATATTGTCAAAGAAATACATAATGAAAATCAAATCATCTTTAAAGTGACTTGGTAACATTGTTGAAAGTTGATGAAAAAAATGCTTAATTTTTGTATAAAATGTTACTTACTATATTCCTTCTACTGTTCTAACCCTCTGACATGCAACAAATCCTGAAAAAATTCTCAAACCCCAAAGATATCTATGGTTTTCTTTGAAGGAGTCGATGTATGACACCCTCTAACAGTGATTAACAGTAAATTCTCCCAACCATTTTTGAATTTTCCCAACCGTTTTTCCATGAAAAAAGACATAAAACAGGCTATAAAAAAAAATCTGTCAACACTTAAATATCTGGAATGGAATGTAGAGCCATTTTATTGCTTTGTGACAATTTCCATACACCTAAAATGTAATTAAATTGTAATAATATAGTTGGGAGAATTAAGGAATCGATCAGATCAGTTTTTCTCAATTTGCACCATGAATAATGGTCCGTTTTCACTCAAATTTTCAGATTATCTTTAATTGTACATCTAGCATTGAAGTCACTACTTTAGCACCACTATCTCTCATCTGAACAATGTTACCAAGTCCCTTTAACGATACTTTTATTGAAGGTAAGATAATTCCTTTTAATGTAAAATTATTTCATGTAACCATTTTTCATGTCGAACATTATTTTTGTTTGACGCAGAAGAGATCAGGGGACTATTTTCCAAGGACAGGTCTTATTGTAGACGATTTTTTTTGTTGTTGAAACTATGAGTATTTGAAGAGTTGGCTGTAGCTACATTGAAATCATAATTTATTGACAACACTCATGATACCGTTATTAACTCTGACACCAACAGGTAAAAATACTCTTACAATATTATAACACGATTGCAGGTACTCGTGTAATGAATTCCTAACATAAAAGATAAGTATTATGCTCACCAGTAACTTGAGGAATGACTCCTCATGCGAATTGCTAGGATTTGCAGATGTGGGAATCCAACAAAATGAAACGACCGCTTCCGTTAGCCCTCGAGGAAATGCGTCAAAACAAAAATGCTCTTGAAATTAAAGTCCTTCTCGGATAGCACAAGCGATGAATGTTTTTACAATGCGAGATGATATCTAATGGACTAAATCCATATGAGAAATCCTCTTGATGATACTTACAGCTGATAAAACATAATGTAGTGTAAATGAGTGAGTTGTAATAATACAGTTAGATGTGACTAGCAGAAAAATCTCGTTTCCCGGGTGAAGTCCTTCTACTAAGATGGTGCACATGTACATTGGAATGAATGTCCTTTTTTCCAGACTATCTCTTGATTGGCCAGTTGTTGCCATGATACAAAAACATCTACTGGGGTACATTAGTGAAGGCATTTTAACAACAGGTGAGCTTGCCTGATTTATATTCTATTGAGTCATAACGTTGAATAGGCTGACCAGCAACGAAGAAAGGAGATGATTTCAAAAGGAATTGCTGGTCTGTTGATTATGAAAGGCAATAGGCCATTTTCGTAATGTAACCAAATTTAATACATAAGTCTTTGTGAAGTGCCTCAATACAAATTATTTAATTCACCTGTTAAGAATATTAGCATTTCAATAGACAGGATCCGAACTGCATACATTAGTTGTTGCCAGGTAGGAAAAACATAATGGCTTGACCTACCTAGCCAGCAACACGAAGTGCAAATGTTTTTAGAATTGATGATAAAATGAAAAAATTTCGCTACACAATCACAATAAGTTTTTAAAAAATCAGCCGTCTTGACTTGAATTTGCACTGCCCTTATTGGTTTATTTCATTAAAAATCAATTCTCTCTCTCTCGCTCGCTCTCTCTCTCTCTCTCTCTCTCTCTCTCACGCACCCTCTCTCCTAAGAACATTTTAATAGGACAGAAGGCTGTCTTGGGCTTGGGAACCAATTCTATTTTTACGGATTGGATCTTGGGGCTGCCTTAAGGCCCCTGTCGGGTTGGAGAGGTAAAGACCCTTTCGGTGGTCTAGCGGGGGAAGGGAGGGGGCGGATGCGTGTTTTTTCTAGCGAAAACACGAGTTTTGAACAATGTAGAACCTTCAAGATGACCATCAGGAGCATTAGAACTTGCAATTTTTTCCTTGAAATTTGCACAGCCCTTTTTTAGAATCATCTCTTTTTTTCTTTTTCTATTTTGTCATACTTTTTTGTCATACTGTTAATCTACTTAAATCTGAAGTCTTCGTACGGACATTTCGAGCCAACTCATCGGCAATTTAATCTGTATTGTGTAAATTAATGTTTTTTATGCTTATGCTTCTTCTTCTTCTTCATTTTATTTTCATTTTTTGATATTGGGTTCTCTCTCTCTCTCTCTCTTTCTCTCTCTCCCACACACACTCTCCCCTAAGAACATTTTAATAGTACAGAGGGCTGTCTTGGGAACCAATTCTACTTTTACGGATTGGATCGGGGGGGGGGGGGTGCCTTAAGGCCCCTTTTGGATTGCAGAGGTAAGAACCCTTTCGGGGTCTAGCAGGGGGGGGGGGGCCGGACGAAAACACGAGTTAATAACAATGTAGAAATTGTAAATTTTCCTTGAAATCCGCACAGCCCCTTCCATTTTAGAATCCTCTTTTCTTTTCTTTTTCTATTTTTCATACTGTTAACCTACTTTAATCTGAAGTCTTCGTACGCACACGTCGAGCCAACTCATCGGCAATTTAATCTGTAGTGTGTAAATCAATGTTTTTCATGCTTCTTCGTCTTCTTTTTCATTTAATTGTTTATTTTTAATATTGGGTTCTCTCTCTCTCTCTCTCTTTCTTTTTAAGGGCCGCAAATAGGGGAGAGGCGGCCGATTCGGCCCTTGGATCCGCCACTGATACAGTGATTCGATCCAGCAATGATTTTCCTCTACCATTTTTGGGAAAATGTGGTCACTCCTCGGCTCTTTTAAATGGTGATTTAACATTTCAGGTTTAAGAGTGAAGGGCAATTTCAATATCCTTTACCTATTTGTATATCACATTATAAGTCATTGCAATGTTCGAAAATGTAAATATAGTCGATTGACAATGCTATTGACATTCTCATAGTTTGATTTGGAGCCAATGCGTCCCGCAGAACCACATCAAATTTATTGATTTTACTTCTTTTTCCATGAGCCTTCGAAATGGGGGGGGGGGGGGGCGCATGTCCATTCTACCCTCCTTTGGATACATCATTGGTAGCCCATTTTATAGTTGGTTTTCTTTCCTGTCATAAAATACTAAACGGCACAGATAAATCGCCTGTGGTTTTTAGCCAAAATATCACTTACAAATGAAAGGGTCATGTGTTTACATTAGTGACCTGCAGACGTTCCCAGCACTTCTTAGGCTACCAGCGCGCCAACACACACATACCGATAGCATTTCATACACCCCACCACCACCACCACCGCCGCCAACCATAGACGCCAACACATTACGATGTGTGTGCAATTGAACAGTGTAGACCCGTGCATGCATTGCAAACGAATTGAGTGTGTGTATGTGTGGCGCCGCGGTGCTGCTTTCTTCATACGAAACACACACAGGCTAGCTACTGCAGCTCCAGTGGTATAAGCCTATGTGCCATTTGGTACAGGGAGAACGTCGAAATGGCGGCTAACGAATGTGTAGTCTGCATTCGATGAAAGTATGGGAGACATAGCGGCAAGTATATATGGTATGCAGCAGCTATCGCACTGAGTCAGCTTTGCAAGAGGTAAGATCACTATTATGATGGATTGCTGTGGTAAAAATTTGTGCTAAATAATAACTTGTCGACAACGAGTACGTCAACATCTTCTGTAGACAGCTATAGCTCGACGCGATCATTTGCTTACAATCTACAAATTATACCGTTTAAGAATTTTCATCATTAAAGTATTATAATGAACACCATTTTTGTGCTCAAATTTTTAATAACGTATTTTAACATTCTCGTGCTGTTCTTCTTGTCATTTTATACGTAGTGATAGCATGCCTATAAACAGACAACCGAATCACATAATACTTTTATGTTGAATAGGTTTTGTTACGTTTCTTACACCTTTTTTTTTAGCAGTATCATAAACTGCAGACTAATGCAGTTTAAGCATCAGACGGCGTAGTAAATGATTGGGTTTTCACATCAGAAGCAACACTTTTGATATTAAACATTATTGCTGTGGTTAGGTATTATATTTCATTGCATGGATAAAATAATACTTTGGTTCTTGTGTAACTGTTTACGTAAGTAAAGAGATAGAGAAAGAGAGAGCGAGAGAGAGAGAGAGAGAAAAGGAAGAGAACAAAAAATGACATTATTTATTATCCTTTCATGTAATAATAAGTATGACTATGGTAACATATACTATAATACAGTAAATTATAATAAGTATAGCACATTACATTTATAATATCTCGCTGTATGAAAATTATACACATGCTATATAGATCTCCCCCCCCCCCCCCACAAGGTGAAAAGTAAATAATTTATGTCCATGATCCATGTCTGACATGTGATTCTCTTTATATTGAAAAATGTATTATGCAAAGTATATGCTATAATAAGTAAAATATTCTGCCACGATTGTAAATTATAATCTGTGAATACTCATTATTGTTCACGTTATTTTTCTTTTTCCTTTTGTTTTCATATGTTTTCATTATTTTGTGTATGATTGATTTTTCTCTGTACATTTTGATTTCATGCTAAACAGATTATCATTCTATCATAAACCTATGTGACCATCGTCTAGTTCGATGATGTTGTACTCCCATAGCTTCTGGTAGAATTCATTGGACCTTACCCTCATCCATCGACCTTTTTCCTTAATTGAATCAATAATAAGTTCCTTGGCCTTCACATCCAAAATATCAACTTAAAATCATCCACTCCCTATTTCTTAATCGAATCACGCAATATATGATGTTTAAAGTCACATGACCTGGCATCCTATTTCTGTTGATGTAAGGGGGGATTCAATCGCAGAAAAAAGGTCAGGTACAGTGCAAATTTGAATGTATAGGATACAATGTCGGAATTCATGACCATTGTCCTTACGCTTGTGTACAGTAATGAGATTGATGCGAAAATGTTTACGAGGAAAATCCAAGAGGGTTTATTTTTTAAACAAAAATAACATCAATTATTGATACTCGCGATTATTATGGTTATTAACCTGTGATAGAAATCAATACACTATTGAGAATTCCTTTGTTAAATAATTATAGTTGTTGGGATTTCGCATACTTATATATATGTGCAAATGTAAACATGAATGTTATGATATTTTGTTACGAAGAGGTAATAAGGTATTTTGAATGTTAAATCTTGACATTTTACTATAATAATGACCTTGAAGGGACAAGATACCATTAATATTTTTTTGTTTACATAGCGATTATAATTTCATCTGAAATTGCATTTCGGTCTCAATCAAACACAACTTCAAGTCACTAAGGTGTGCGAACTGATATCTTTTCTATAAATGAAGACAGCGTGATCGAAAAATGCATTCTACATTGTTTTAACCGTGTGATCTAATCTGCGGTAGTGATAAGAAAGAATTGTTTCGTATTGATAGGTTCACAAACTTGGCACATAATTGCATCATCTAAATTAATATGTATTACAAAAAGGTAAAGATGTGTGCAAGAGAACATAGATTAATGCTCAAATCACTTGAAGATAAGGGCAAAATGATTAAATCAAAGACATCATCCAATTTTCCATAAATACCACCTCGAACCAACCTCACACCTGAAAACTCTCACTTGAGAGCTTTGCATTTGTAAAATAGTACTCGCCCTATTATCGTGATTGCATACTCCAATTCAGTACGTGCCAGTGTCGTGAATGAATGATGTGATATAATGTCGCTTCATAAGGTTTTTTAACAAGCTGTAATAACATGCTGTTTACTTGGCAATCCTCACACAGAGAGAGAGAGAGAGAGAGAGAGATGAGAAATTAATATGGGGGAATGCAAACGGTGGAAATGTCACGTTTTCTAATAGATACTAAAATGTAGCGGTAAACGTGTTTGTAAAAGTGTAAATGGGTAAAAGTATTTTGCACGCACCGCGAAATAAAACGATATTGTTAAGATTATCTTCTCATTGATTATATAACATGAGTTTCAACCCAAATGCCGAAAAATGTGACATGGATATTTTGTTCTCAAATTATCGATGACATTTTATCCTGAGAGAAGTATTTTTAATCTGCAGTCAGGAAACTTTACTATGGCTTTTTCTCAACTTATTAGTATTCAATAAGTATTAACAAATTTCGTACTTTTATCACCCCCCCCCCCCCTTTCATCGTTCTAGATCAAAGAGAATAAAATACAATCTGGTTTCCGCCATCTTGTTCCATAAATCCTCTTCATTTGCTGCAAAATGGTTTCGGGAGTAGTGGACACGTCCACTTCGAGTGACAACCCCGACGGAGGGGAGAAACGAAACATCACATGCTTTCGATGCTGCTCGGCTACTGCGTTATTGGTACTGCTCTCCGTCCCTCACATGATCCTGGGCCTCCCTAGTATGGTAGTGGGAGTGATCCTCTACAGTGACGCGCACATCTGGCTCGCACACACGGTATCGCCGATATGGAGTGGTGTCTGCGTAAGTTCAAATGTTAATTATAATAAAAAGCATTTTATTGTAAAATCTACATAGCTTCTTATTATGGAGACCTATGAGCGAGCAATACAAAATATTAATAGCATTACTTGTGTTCTATTTTTCTTTAGATTAAAATGCAGTCATTTCCAATAAGATAACATAACAACAAGTCATGTATTTATTAATATCATTAATATAGACTATATTGGGGGATTGCTAGCGTCAAAACTATACATGAACGAGATGGCAAAAATACATATGTAGACATTTCTGATATTTGTAAGCTTAAATCAGTCGATTCATTTATGGAAGTAGCTCACTGTCATATTTTTGTTATATCAATTCAAAATCAAGCGAAAATAAAAGACCAAAGTATTTTGATAAGTTGTAGATAAGTCTATACAAGTCATATTCCTTTAAACAGTACTGTTATTTCGCCCCGTTTAGCTCAATTATGGTGTTTCTTGCCCAGAGGGGGGGGGGGGGGGGGGTAATATAGTATTAAGACATACGCTGGATGTGCCTCTCTAATAGGTGATTTTTTTTTACCCCAAAAAACCTAAACATGGGTCCCATTTTTGACAAAATACCATTAAAAATGGGTCTGTTTTTCTCAAAATTTTCGGGTGAAAAAACACCCGAAAATTGTGGAAAATGGGCCTTATTTCGAGAAAAAAATCCCCCAAATGTCCCTCAAAAATGGGAATAGCTTGAACGGCACACCCCTGACCAAACCAAATCTGTTTCCCCCTCCCCCCCGGCGTTTGTTGTTATTTTTTGTTTCTTCAAATGCAAAGTAATTTACTTCCTATTTTTCATTAGGATGCATAATCTTATTTCTATTACTCGTCAAAAGATAATATAAGGCTACAAAATATATATATCTGTTGTTTACTTTTTTATATCCCAGTTTTTCTTCTGCGGAGTGTTTGGAATTGTCTCTGCCAAAAGGACGTCTCCTTACACGGTAAGTACATAGGCTAATCATTATAATGAAAAGGCTCACTGCTAAAATCAATCAGTCTCTTGCTAAGCATCTTCCTTTGTCAATTACTTTCGTATGATATCAACCATCCTTTTCCCTCATAAAATGTTAACTATAACATGTATGGACTATACATTTCCATGTATTGTAGGGCAGATTTTGCTTCATTTGAGCGATTGCTTTTCGTTAGGTTGTATCGACGAACAAACATACATACTGATAGGCCTTTAAGGGATCCTTCTTTTTCATATTTTCCCCTTCTTCTTCATATTCCCCCTTCTTCTTCCCCATTATCAGTCTTTCTACCAAGAGCACACAATGCTCGTCATAGTGCTATCCATTCACTTGATTTGCCACCAGAAGCCAGATCAATATGTCGCCCTCTTGTGTCATCCCAACGAGAATCAGCTTGGTAAAAGACCTCGACATTTGGACAGACATTAAAGCAGTCATTGAAACACATATGTTGATACAATATAATCATAATAGTTGTATTCATTAGCCCAATTATACATTTGATGATTCCATCTCCTATTTTACTCTCATAATTTCTATGATTATTGGCGTCTGAGTCGTACTTTACAAATTATGTTTACTTTATAAAATGTAATACACTCATTATTCATATCACGTCGTGAATGAGGCAGCTTTAATAAATGTGACAGTTGTAGTATTCAGGTTCCATAACCATATTTGTCTCATTATCGAACATCAACGATGAGCGATAAGATTAATGATCTACGACTAAATGATATCTATTCGAGATCATCAAGGCATAATATTGCCCTGGAAATGTACTTTTTATGCTTTTGACCTCTCAGTTATAAACAAATATAACATGAACAGTCAACCAGACGATTGTAATTGATGTCATTAGTGCAATTTAATCGGTCCATGCTATGGCATCATCGAGGGGAAACAAAACAGAATTGAACATGCCATCTGCACGGATCATGAATCTTCAAAGACCATATCGGAATATTTAACGCATTATGCATACATAATGTGACATGCAAGATGCAATTCTGACTGGGAATCGACTTGCCTTGAACATGTTCTGGAAGTAAATACTGCAGATCGTGATCATGTACATTGATGTTTGTGTGGCTACGCTCTAGCTTAACATCCACTCCAAATAGTTTTCACTTGCTATGGATTCAAGTACCGATTCAAGTGATTACTTGGATTTCTCAGTTTTTTTACAGATAATTTTAATTATTGGAAATGAACTTTCCCCGTGAAAGAAACGATATAGAACTTATTCCAAGTTGTTAGTGAGTTTTTAGAAATCTCAAAATTTGTAACAAACTTATTAATGAATCTTGCCGAGAATTTTACCTCTCATCTTTACGAGTTGTTGTTAACATTGTTAATGTTAAGTAACATTAATTTTCACTTTTGCCATCTTTGCCTATGTTTGACTTTTTTCTAATAGACTGAAAGTGCACACATATAAATATATGGATATTTGAAGACATTGCTACAGTGATTTTCTTCCAGTTCACAAATTATCTATCACACTTATCTAAAAACCCAACTATCTGTTTGAAGTTCCAATCGTAGTTTTCTTTCCTTCTCAGATCTTTTGTTTCTCGTCGTTCTGCATCATCAGTCTAATGGTAAGCATCATCGACATGCAGCTCCTGAGACTTGGTCTAGTCAACCACACAACAGATGGACAGACATTCCTCAAGGTACTAGAAAACTGCAAGCAAAGTATAATATTCATAGTCATGTTAATCTACTGCAATCTCAATATACTGTACGTTTAGATGTTTCGATTTTGTGTAGGATAGATAGGGAGTAAGGGGAGGGAATATGGGAACAGATACTGCGTTTATCTACCCTCATGTAGCCTATAAGCGACGGTGTCATATTGAAATGAAAGTGACATGGCTGGTTATGTCTATACCTGGCCCTTGGTCCCCTGCCCCAGAATATACCTAGATCGATGACATCACCACCACCACCGTCACTACCACTACCAATAAAAACCTATATCACCGCGAGCACCATCATACCTGCCACCACCGTCATCACCATCACTACCACCTTACAGCCTATACCACCACAATCACCACCACCACAACTAAAGTCACCACTACCACCCCCAAACACCAGCATAACTACTTCCACTATCCCTACCACCATCACCATCATACTACAACCACCATCAAAGTCACCACTGACCGCTAACACCACCATAGCTACCATCGTCACTATTGCCGCCACCAAAACCACACAGCACGTTAATCTAAAGCCTCGGTCACAAATGCCATTACGAACTGCTATACGAACGCCGTACGAACGATATTCAGACAATGGAAATTCGGGAAGACAATGGAAAAACAGGGAGATTCGTACAAAATTATCGTTCGTACGAACCTTTGTGATCGTAGCATTACCCTCATTATTAACTATCATCCAATCATTGTTACTTACCATCGTGGCTAATACTTTGATTACCACTAATCTCTATGTTGTAGGATAACGTGGATCCTGTGATCCGGATCGCGTTGGGGATCGCAGGCGGAGAGAGTTTCATCTGTGCTCTGAGCGCCCTGTTCAGCTGCCTGGTCGGGCAGCATGTCCGCAGGACACTCCGATCCGGTGGGACACGGGTTGTCTCCAATGAACATCTCGTCGCACAAAGACAGGAACAAATCAGACAGGTTTGTTTGCGGGCTACATTTACATACATTTCTAGAATTGTTTGTCATTTTAAAAGCCTTTCTCCGAAATGGACCCAGAATTACCCTTCGTATTTTAGTCTATGGAATATACTCAGAACTATAGTTAGAGCTTATTCTTTTAATGTAAATTATTTTACGAAATTATCTCTTCTTGAACAGACCAATCGGTACGAAACTAAAGTTTCTGCCTTCTTGAACAGATTTTATTTCAGCAGACGTGTTATGGGTATGCGTAAGCTGCAACACAATTAACGAGCGATGTGTTTTAGGACATCTAGAGATTTGATTATAGACTTTATCATAAATGTTGTGATGTTGATTTTCAAGCGATGTTGTTAGGACATCTAGAAATGTGATTATAGACTTTATCATTATTGTTGTGATGTTGATTTTCATGTACGTTTATATTTTGTAATTTAGAATGAAGCTTTATCAAAGAGAAGATTTAATTTTTAAATAAATATGCAAAGTTAAACGTTTAGATGGAGAAAAATGAAAAGCAAAGCGCAAAAGCCAGCTTGCAGTCAGTAGATGTCTGAGAGTTTTTGTTAGTAAAATAAATATATGAAAAATAAAAAGACTAGCTGATTTGAAGAAGTAAAAAGAAGATATTTTATAGCACGTATAGATTATAAAATGAGAAGGAAAAAAATACCTCCATCCTCTCCGAAATTGATGTCTTTTTTTAAATTATAATTTCCAATATTTTATTGTTATATTCCTAAACATGTAACAACAATGTAAATGTGAATGCATTCAATTAGCTTTTATCACTTTTTTTTCTTCTAAAAAAAAAATTCATTTAGCATATTCTATATTCACATTTTGCATGCATTTCTTAGAAATAGTTGAGATGTGTATTTACCATTTTTAATGATGTAATGTATTATCATTTTTGCTATATACTAGAGTAGATTTTGCATAATGATTAGAGTAAATCATGATGTATATGATGATAAGTTTCACCCGATTTTAATGCATAATTTGAACGAAGTTTGACACATTTAATAGAAAAATTAATCATCCATTTACATGTAATCATTATACATATTCATCATATTCGTTTATTGTCCGTTATATATTACAATACCTATTCTAATCATTCTTTGATGCATTAGGTTTTAGGTAGTAGAATTAGGGTTGAATGAAGACCAATCATATGTCATTAACAGTCTTTCCACTCCTAACTTATACCGGAATATGTTACTAGAGTGTGATTTTCATGAATTTCTCTCCTCATGATATTTATCATATCTTAACTCACCATCTTTATATCATACTTTATATTCCCCTTATTTGTGCAACTCTGTAATGTGCACTTATTTTCATGTCGTTATGAAAGTCTCCATGACGCACCAAATTACGGTCATTAGCATGCAATTTTCCACTTTCTTCGTTATTATTCAAATATATTAATATATACATGAATATTCACTTATCACTTCTAACGAATATACCTTTCTCCCTTTCATCATTCCTCTAACTTGATAATCGTTTCATTCCCTCAGCAAAATTGTGTTCTATATGATATTTCTAACAACTTCACATTGTTGCTTCTTATCTCGATAGAAAATATCAGATCTGGAGGGCATTATGATGCACTTTCTTCTTCCTTTTTCTCACATTCACCGTAACTTAACCGTTTAACATAACTTTTCTTGTTTTGCGTCGTAGTCTTAGATTTGTTTCTTTGTTCACGTCCTTCTGTTGCATTCGAGCCCAGTTTGAGTAAGTTTTGTCGACGAGCTTTGCGTTATCTATGCTGCGATCAAAATAATACAGCTTATTTCTTCAGCCGTCACTCCCAGAGCTTGCTTTGAAATCATACGATCAACTTCTCCTTCTGTAGTTGTCATATTTTCTAATATAGTTTATGATCAGTGCCACGAAATATTTGGTTCAATAATTTGTAAGCCAAAGACTCTTCTGTAAATCAAATATAATCATTAATTCAGGAACGCAAATAAATGATAAACATGTTCTTGCAATATCATGTACCGTCTATAAAAATGGAGCATTGTCACTGTTATTGAGATGGCAACATGCAGTTAGTAAGTCGCAATGATTAAATGAAGAGAACTATGTACAAAGGAAAGAAATATATAGTCGGGAGACGTAATCAATGTCTTTTTTGTAATGGTACATGTTCATTTGGAAATTAAACTGCATTTTCTTTTAAATCTGTATCTAGCTCCATAAGTTCTCATCGTATGATTAAAGTATAGATACTTGATTTGACGAAGATAATTCTAATGGCATAGATCGACATATTTTAACATGTTTCTTTCATTCACTGTATTTTCTTATTAGACTATGACTTTATCAAATAGAGTTTTTCATTGTATGCATTATACTTCTTTAGAATTCACAGATCTCTAATACTCGCATGTGTGTTTGCATTCTAATAATAAGCCTCTTGGAGTGATCCCACTTGCTGATCCTTGCTTGCTGCAAGTATTGCAGCACACTGCAGCTAATTTCGTTCACTTTGCCGATTGGGCAAGAGTCGGGTGCCGAGCGGACGCCGAGTTAGCTCGACACAACATGCGAAGGACTCAAGAAACAACTCTGGAAAGTTCGGCGTAGATCGTATTAACTCGTCTACAGACACTGACTACAAGTGATCCGAATGCACGTATGGTTTAAATATTCGCGCGCGTCAGTTCTGCGAGCTATCCCGAGCTCCGAGCTATCCTCTGACGCTTCCCGAGCTATGCACGAGCAGCGCCAAACCCAAATCGGCAACCTTTCGGCACCCGACTCGGCAAAGCGATAACATCTTTCGTCTAATCTTCAACTTTGTCTCCTTTAATGCATGGTGTGAACAAACAGTTAGAAATAGAATTATTAGACCATCCCGCCTGTAATACTGACCATCCCTCTATAACGACTGTCTGTCTTTAACGGCCACTATATCAAAGTGATGAGGTCTAATTCTAATTGTGCATCAGTCTTGCGTTATAACAAGAAGCCATTCTTTTGTGCTGTATTTTCCTTCGAGATGTCCATGATTAGATTGTATATTTCGGGGGCTAATGTATCCTCGCCTTTCACAGGAGAAAGAAGCTCCCAATAGATCAGGTTGGTTGGTTATTCGGACGACCCTGCCTTTGCTCAGCTCAAAATCCAGAGATCATGGATTAGACAAGGATTAACTAATCCCCACCAAGGTGAGAACACAGGGTGAGAGTGCCCCAAGCAGTAATTTCATCCCCTCGTCCATTGTGGAGGACTTTGAAGAGTTTTAAAATATTTGCATGACTTGCGATGATCCGTCGCAAAATATGTCATGCTTATGATTGGTTTATGAATGAACTTTTACAATTATTGGCTACAAATATTCTTTGAAAGGAATGATATCGCCGAGATGGGCTCACCTCTATCATAAAACCTCAAATCCTCGAAAAGTAGGTACAGAGCATCAAACGGGTGACGAATGCAACGAGTTCGTCACGTACAACCTCTCTATAGATCTTCTTTCGAGGGAATTCTCTAGGCCGTCACCCTTTAAAAAACTATTCCTTTCATGCACCGGGGCGTCCCTCGACCCTTTTCAATGGGGCTGAAGGCTTTACAATTTAAAATTCGTTGATTGTAGGTAACACACATTCTAAACAAGCAAGTTAAAGAAAAAGAGACAAGAAATAAACCCTCATATTTGTAAATTTGCTGACGGACCAAAACAAAACACAAAGAATTAGAAGTTTCCGTCTTATGGACGTTCAGACGGGCACGCCCCCTCCCCCCCCCCCCCCGAACATGGAAAGCTTGAAACAGCCATCAATGTTTTTCATTTATTTTGTAGGTTACAAATAGTAGAAATGTACTTTCTCAATTAAGATAAGCTTATGTTTTGCTTTTTAGCTTATAAATTACCACACTCACAGTAACTATAGTTTGAGATGTGTCAAAATAGCTGCTGGACCGTAAGGCTTTGTGTGGTACTGTGTACTTAAATCAAATAATAGATGCAAATGCATTAACACGTGGTCCAAATTAGATGTCGTGATTTTTTTGTTTCCCCGTGCCATAATGCTTTTGTTGCAAAAACAAACGTTATTGTAACCAGATTCTAAGACTTTGTAGTAGCCAAGCTAGAAATGAGTTTTAGATAGTAAATTGAAAATTTATTCGCAACCTTTCAATTTTTGAACATTTTCATTTTTGTTGAGTCAAGTGAAATGCTTGTTAGATTTGTGAGAAAGCGGAATTACACGTATTAGAAGCAACCTCCTAATTTCTACATTCTCTATTGTGACAATCAAAAAACGGCTCGTTTGAAAATTTTGTTGGAAAGTGCCGAATTGGGAATTTCCACTTTTTAAGTGAATATAGACAAACGTTAGAGCGCCACAAAAAAAAATCAGATTACTATTTACAAACAAATTCGTCACAATGGTTTAAATTATTGTGAATTATTTTCATGATACATCAAAAGATATCTTCTTTACATACAGTTTACATGTTCAAACTGTCAAAGATATAATTTTTTGTTGCATGTGTCATAGAACCAATTCTTCACAATCAGATCGTCATTATCGTTTTCATCATTATTATTACTAATGAGTGATATTTCGTTTCAGACACAGATTAAAATATCCTTTAGATACACACCCATTACTAAGGTATTTAATATTCCTCTCTGTATTATATAATCAAAGAAAAAGCAGAAATAAATGTTTGTCAGATCATCTGCGTATAATTAAAATAATTGTTTTTTGTGCTTTGAGAATAACTGTTTTGCATTGCACAATTCTGTATCGTTTTGTCATTGGCACAGATTTGACTCTACAACAATGAAATAACAGGAATAGTATAAACATTAAGATCATTATAATGAAATGTGTAAAATATTATAATGTGCTTGCTCTCTCTCTCAATCTGTTTAAACCCATTTACACATGCATTCAGGTGACAGGTGTTCTGGACATAGAACCAACGGCATAACATAAATATATACTGATCATTCGTCTTTTCCTTCTTCGTTTATCTTCCTCTTCTTTTTGTATATTTTTTACATTTCGTTGCTATTATACTTTTGTTTTGTTCATTCAATCTTTTTTTGTAGTAAAGATTTTGCTATTTATCTTTATTTTTTGGATGCCTTCTTGATCTCCATTCCTTTTAAAACCTTTTGAATGATTAAATAGTTAAATAGTTCTTACGATAAAAGTAATATTTTCTTTATTCCTAATGCTCTTAATTAAAACCACTGTACATTTATATTGTTTCTACTGCACGTACTATAATTACTGCGACTATTACTTTTATTACTTCTACTTCTTCTTATGATGCTGCTGCTACTACTACTACTACTACTACTACTACTACTACTACTACTACTACCTCTACTTCTACTCCCCTCCTCCTTCTACTCCCCTCCTCATTCTCCTCCTCCTCCTCCCCCTCCTCCTCCTCCTCCTCCTCCTTCTCCTCCTCCTCCTCCTCTTCCTCCTCCTCCTCCCCCTCCTCCTCCTCCTCCTCCTCCTCCCCCTCCCCCTCCTCCTCCTCCTCCTCCTCCTCCTCCTCCCCCTCCTCCCCCTCCTCCTCCTCCTCTTCCTCTTCCTCCTCCTCCTCCTCCTCCTCCTCCTCCTCCTCCTCCTCCTCCTCCTCTTCCTCCTCCTCCTCCTCCTCCTCCTTCTCCTCTTCCTTTTCACATCTTGATGCAGCCTCTGACTACTTCATACCTTATGATTCTGCAACTATTCTTTCATTACTCTCATCTTTCTTCCTTAAATAATTGTTGTCAGAGAAACTGTGCCGTATGTGCAATATGCAGCTGTTCTTCATTTTACAAGTTGTTCTAAGTACAAGAGCGAAAGCATTTTCAAATATCAACTTCGGTGATCTTGCTCCAGCACAGCGAAATATTTCCATTGACCATCATGCTTTTCTTGATTCGTAATTAACTGTGTGATCCTTTATTCTAATGATCTTCTTTTAATTCATCTTTTCTCTCTATATCTTTTAAAACTAGATTATTTTTACACAGGTAAATTTGGAATATAAAGGAGCAAGTAAAATACGACACGGCAGAGATTCCCTGATCGATTTGAAGGGAGGAAACAATAGCATAAGCTTCGACAACGAATTCATATTTTTATTTTTATTTTCATTTTCGTCTCTTTACACTCCTATATCAGTGCTTATGTTCTATTGACATCGGTTTACACATCGATTGTTACCTGTTTTTATCCACTACAATCTGTCTTACACTACCCGAACATTGACCAAATTATAATTCTTGAATGTATTGGTCAGTACGTTTCGCTCTCCAATGTAAAATTCTAATGTCAAATGCTCGTCCCCATCTCTCTCCCTCTCTGTCTCTGTCTATGTCGCTCTTTTCGTTTGTCTGTCTGTCTGCCTCTCTCTCTCTTTCTGCCCCTCTCCCCGTCTCTCTTTCTCTCTCTCTCTCTCCCTCTATTTTCCCTCTCTCTTTTCTCTAATTTTTTTCTTTTCCTTATCCCATTAATATGGCATATGATGTCACTACCCTTTCCTCCTCCAATCCTTCACCCCGTCCTCTCTGACGTAAACATGTTCCTCTCGTTTGTGCCCGCCATTCATTTCTCTCGCCCAATTTGTTTGTTGCCCATAGCAACGGGAGCACGAGAGGAAAGTGTTGGAGAAGATGGAGAAAGAACGTGCCAAATCAATCCGCTATCATCGAGTTTGAAGAGCGCCATCTCAGGCGGAGCTGATGACGCAAGGCAGTAAATATGCAGCATTTTGCCTTTTTCTGTCTGATTCCGCCGCAACAGAGAAATTGATAATTTAATTCATTTCAAAGGTCATCTTGTAAATTAATCACTTTTCACAAATTTTATATGTAACAATGCGCCATTTTAAGGTTTCTACTCTTATTCAAAATAACAAGGCTGACAGATTCTACGGCGTCTGAGATTAAATAAGCTATATGTCTCTTAGAAGTCGTATTTGTTGTTGTTGTTGTAATTATGCAACATTCCACGACTGGAAGTTTTGAGTTATGTTGCGGCTGACAGGAAATAATAAGCCTATTTATTTCAGAGGTTGTCTTAAGAGTATAGTACTTATCGAATTTTATATTTAACATTGCACAATTTAACGTTAAGTAATAATTTATTTAGTATCTGTTACTTCTATAAATGCTTGTAAAGCCTCTTTTTCAGTCATCAACCTTGAATTTTCGTTTTTAAACCGACTTGCTAATGTGTTAATGATCGTCTAATTTGCAGGCTTGGGCCAAATTATAAGTTAGACTTTGTTGTTACGATTGGTAAATATGTAACAAAAACGAAAAATGAAGACCAAATTCCGAAATGAATGGGGGGAAGGAATCATGTTGTGTGGTTAACAACTATTGCTTTCTTTAAGGAAATATTTTTTTCTTGTTAATTCCAGATGAAAGTACGCTTGTTTTTCACTTGTTTCAAATGTTGACTTTGTTGTTGCATTAATGGCTGCATTGTTCTAAGTTTAAATATTTTCTGTATATGTTGTGTGTACATATAGATTTTACATTGACAGAGACAGTTTTTAGTGTTTACAAGAAATCTTAGTCACACTGGTATTGGTATTATGTGGCGATAACTCCGATGATACAAGACAAACAGTATTTATCTCTAATTAAAGACCAATAATATGAACTGACAGTATTTTTACCAGTAAAGTATACTTACACAAAAATGGTATTGTAAAACCATATAATGAGTTAGCCCCATTATGTGAGAGTTATTGTTCTAGTTCCCCTTGTATTCAAGATTTACTACTACTTATTGGCACACAAGCCCCCCCCCCCCCCCCGGTGATGTGCTTCCCGCAATGTCGATAGTGTTCTGTGAATCAGTAACAGATCGGGTATACTTTTATAGGGTTATAGAATATATTGTTGTGCTTTTGTAAACGTTTATGATATGAGAATCTATATGATTTGCAACGAAAATGACTGTAATGAATTATAATTTGTATAGTGCTTTGTGTAGACTACAGTGTAGTGTGTGGTAAATTTACAAGATTTGGTGTGATGTTTTAAAACACCACATGATTTAAAAGAGGGTAAGGGGACCCCTTGGAATATTTTCATGTTATCACCATGCCCTGGGCCATGTTGACATTATTAAGCGACATGCTTGCTTGGAAGTTAGATAATCAATCTCTATACACCTGTGCAATGCGCTGATCAAATTATTTCAAGGGAGATACATCATCCCGAGTCAAGAGCTCTCCCGTAGACACAATAGGTTCGGATTGGGACTTTCGTTAAAATAATAATACCAATCATTATAAAAATCTAAATTTAAATAAATCAACAAGTCATATTGTTACAGGTAACATTTGACCTATATACATGTAACAGTAAAGCATAACTTTAAAATACACGGTTTCAATAGATTAGGCCTAGACATAATCTGATTAGATAAAGATATTTATTATAATATACATTGAGCTTATTACATGTTTATTGTTTTCTCTTATGAGATGAATTGTTGTCTTACGAAATTCGTATTTTTAATGTATTATTCATTTATTAATTCTTTCAGAACAAGGCAACAAAATGTTGTATTCGCTAATAAATTCTACTGTGAACAAAATACATTAAGCATGATTATCACAAAAATAAGGACAAATAATCATACTACACTACTACACTGTAGTAGTAAAGTTCAGTCCTATCCCGGTATATTGACAGTATAGGGGAGTAATATACCCCAATGACTTCATTCCCTAGCAATAACTATTACAAGAGTCAAGTCATGATTATCACTTCTTATCCCGCATAGAGAGGAAGCGTCAGATAAAAGCGGAATGCTTTGAATAAAATAAGATAACATATCTTCCTGGGCACTGACATGTGCGAACTGCCCTACATTCCCATTGCAGTGACGTCCGATGCACGAGCGGCGTCATTTCGATTGCGTCAATAATAATATTGCGCTGATCAAGTCTGTGAAGGGAATGAACCCATGCGCCAGCATTTCTAACTAATTCGAAGCAATGTTTGCACTGTTCATTCTACATTCATTACTTACTTAATGTCCCGTCACATAGTGCGTCAGAGACTACGCCAGTTGTTGACACAGTGCTACGTTAGCAAAATGACGCCTTGGATGCAACGGACAACAAAAAAAAAGGACACATATTTTGTATTATAAAACCTGTTTCAACTTTAGATATTTCCATCTAATACTTAAAATGTCATGTTCATTTCCATTCAGTATTGAAAATATTGTTTTAACAGCACTTCAATATCGTGATTATTGTTCACGTGGAATTAGGAAGCTCTCTAAGTGGGGGAAGATTACAGAATATTTTGCATTTATTCAACACATTTTAAAGGTATCCTGAAGATTTGAATCTTATTCAAGATATATCGTAAATACATGTTTACTCAGAAGTGTCAAGACGACCAAAGAAAATGTCAGAATGTTGCGCCGGAGGCCCGGAACAACAACGTTCGTATGAATAATTCTCATTTTCCTCAGCTCGGTAAAAAGGAGAATAAATAGCCATATCTTTTATGAATCACTCTCAAATCTAAATGTAAAGGAACAACGGGTCTGTGTTTGATACTTTCGCAACATCACAACCTGTATCTTAATAACAGTTTTGATGATAAGATTTTGTAGATTTTGTATCTTCTGACCTTGTGTTAGGCTTGTTATTATATTTTCTTTGATATAAGACAGTGGGAAAGGTTAAGTTATAATCATGTATTGTTTGTTAACCTAGTGTGTTTTTATCGATTGGAATATCCTGTGTATTAGTGACTAATCAATACGGCAATATGAAGTTCATATGATAAAGAGAAAGGTAACTAGGTAATCTTTCAAACGGAGGCAGGCATAAAATGTAAATAGAGTGTACACCACTAAAAATATGCAGTAACTGCTCCGTGCATCTCAGTGCAAAGATGTATCATAAAGTGACTAATGTAGATTTGTTGCCGTGTGCTGTATGTATATTTGCCGCTTGGAAAAATAATGCAATAAAATGTCATAGCGAATAAGCCTGAAATATCGGAAGACGGGGCTCTCTTTTTGTGGATCAATTTGACGTTGATTAGCGTAAGTGAAACTCAGAAGACTTGGTATTATTCTCCAGCAGACGCGGCGGCGCGCTTTGATCTTTCGCCGTATTACATGCGGATTGACAAAGAGGGCGTAATGAAGAAATATGGATTCAATTGTCTCTCTCTCTTTTACCTCGCTTTACCTGAATGATTTTCTCAAGCACACTCATCTTTAGGATGGCTCGCATCTCATCCAGTTCCCTGTATTCTCTATCTCTTTCTTCATTATGCCCCTCACCCCCCCCCCCCCCCTCCTCCACTCTCTATATCTGCTCTGCTGTCCTCTGATCTCTCTTTCCTCTCGCTGCGCTTTACAATACTTTCAGCGATGATGATCTCTCAAAGGGGCACATCCTCTCAACATTATATTTTCAATCCTCTAGCTCTCATTTTTTCCCCCTTATGAAGTATACTGACATAAATACATTTCTATAGAGGTTTGTGTACCCTTTTATGTTTGTCTATGGGACATCCACACAGCCCCCCTTAGTTTTTCTCCCCCCAGCCCTCCCCGTTTAATTCTCATAATCTCCTACTACAGTTGTAGCATCTTATGCGATTACATTGTACCTTAACATTTTCTAAGGGAGGGGGGGGGGGGGAGATTTTAATGTAAGGGGGAGGGGGTAAGAGGAAATAGGAATCGAGGGGAAGAAGAGAAAAACAATCATGGCAATAGAGGTAACATTGATTAAAGAGAGAGATGATTAATGAGGCAAGGTGTGTCTTGATAAGTAAGAGATAGTTGGAAGCACTGGAAAAGTTAATGAGGTGTGGAAACGAGGCTGAAACAGGGACAGAGGGAGAGAGAGAGAGAGAGCAAGGGAGAGATGGAGTTGAAGAACGAGAATGAATATAGCTGAAGAAAGAGAATGTGATGAGAAAGAGGTTATAGAGTGCCAAGAAAAGGAGTGAAAGAAAAGTAAGGATCGAGAAGTGCATATATTATAAGGTATATAGGACGAGATATAGGACGAGATAGCATAAGAACACGAAGAAGAGAATCGAAAATGCTCAGGGAATAAGATGTCGTCATCATAAAGTAGGACATTTTAATGGACTTAAAGAGGGCGGACAAAATTTTAAATAAGAAAAGGTGCAAATCGAGTGTTTGATGTGTGTTTCATGAATGTGTATACAATCATGTTCATAATTATGTTTCATTTGGCTAGATAATTAAGTGGAAGACGAAATATATGACATGATTAAGGGGGGGGGGGTAGAATAAAAAATATCTGGAAACCCTTTCCCTTGGTAAAACCAGGGTATAATATTTCCATGCATATAGCTGGCATTTCCATATTAGTTCATTTCAAAAGACTTGGATGAAAGAAACATAACAATTACTTAGGCTCTCGATTCAAAGAAAAATGACGATTAGTTGTTTAAATCCTTTACTTTAAAACAACAGATCTTTTGTTTACCAACCGGCTTCCAATTCATCATCATATCTATTAGAATGACAAATCGAATGCAACATGCTGACCGCCAACTATCCAGTTTCAATTTGAGAGATTTACCGGACTTTGAGCGTCAGCAATCGCCTCTTCAATCGAGGTCTATTTTATTCCCAGCTAATTTTCACGCTTCCCCTCCTGCAGCTGCAAGCTCTATAGCAGAAATAAAGGCTCATCCTTTTGTCCTTGCGTTAAAAAAGAAAGAGGGGAAATAGAAAAGAAAAGGGGAAAAATAAAGCCCCCCACACGCGATCTTATAACCCCATTGCGAGTAATAGCCCTATGCGCTATAGCTATAGTCCTACGTCATCGGCACGCGACGCTAAAATGGTAATCATTTTGCTTTGTCTTCTAACGTACCCGTAAATGAACTAGCCGAACAAAAACGATACAATTTATTCAATCTCAGACTCTATTTCATGCGATTGAGGGCGGCCAATATCATTTGCAAAATGCGGTTTATGGTGGTGGCTAGCGAGTCGTGAAATTTTGTGGGATGTATTTTGGTTACACTTGACGTAACCTTGAGTTTGAATAAATAAAATTGACATTGTCTGATAGAGTGCGAGTTAGTATTCTATTCGAGCTGAGAAATAGCGAGAGATGAATTGTGGCATATCGTTGATTTCTTTCAGATTTCATTATGTAAAGAGCTGATTGCTCATTGACACATGTAACAGAATCTGATAGGCTATTTTCTTCATCTTTTACTCAAATGTTCTTCATCTCTTTAAGCATGTTTACCTCTCTACCGCTCTCCATCTCTCCCCCCCCCCCCCTAGGGACTTACATCAAGTGTACTTTTTTGTCCTCCTTTTAGTCCTCAAGTATATGTGACTGTAGTAATTTATCCAGGGTTGTAAATGTTTACCCTTTGATGAATCTTAATTGCCTCAATTTCATCTCAATCTCAGTACATATACATGTTCCAACAAATTAAATATATCATCTTCGTTATAATCATGATTCATAGTCATTAATATCATCATCATCACTGTCAGTGTCATTCTGATTTATTTGTGTTGTTGCCACCACCACCACCACCACCACCACATAGTGTCATCAACATCACCACCAACATCACCACTACCACGACCAACACCACCTCCAACTTGACAAACCGCCACCATCATCATCATCACCCAAACCCCACCTCTACACAAACATCCTCATCATGGTATATGCATCAACCTCTACCAGGACATCCACCTGTACAACAACCTTTCAATTCAACAGCCAGCTCTTCCACCACTATACATCAAATCAAATGAAACAGCGTCGAAGTCATGTACTTATCATACAATCAGAAATAGTGTGCTCTTTTATTATCAGTATCGTACATGTATAGTAATGATACGATGGATTTCACACAGAGATCTATAGACAAGAGGAAATCATCTCTGCCTACCTCAGTCCCAAATGCGACTGACATAAACAAATGACCAACTTAGGGGGTAAGGAAAAAGATATTTCTCAAAAAGGGGGAAAAACAAAGACAATACATCACACAATGTGACAATATCTTTATATATTACTTCTCATTTGAAAAAAAAGAAAGAAAAGAAAACTACTATACAAACATAGTATGCAGTTAAAACTATAAACTAAAACAAAAACATCTTTGTACCACTATGATTCAAACGTAATACAGCACAGGCGATGATGACGATACTTTTGTTAAAAGTTTAACGTCACTTCTTCAAGTGAACCAAAACATATAACACATCGACAAAGTCTTCTTTTTCTGTTAAAAGAAGCCTCCATGAAATTGAGACTCAGCTTGCTATGATTTACATGTTATGCGGTATGCTTCTGGAAAATTAAAGCAACAACTTTGTCAACCAATAATCATCTGGTTTTCTTCTATTTGTAAAAACTTTTTTATTCAAATGAGAAAAAGCAGCATAAAAAAAATTGTTTGAGTTTAAACTGTTTTGGTTATTCAAATAAGTAACAGAAATAAATTATTATAAAAAAAGTAATAATTAACAATGGCCACAAAACTGGCACTCTTTTTGCTTCTTGAACTAGCATTTTTTTTTTTAAATTAAAGCGACCAAGAGAGGATGCATAATTACTTTATCAGGAAGAAAAGACCTGAATCTAAATTTGATTTTGATAAGGATAAAATACCCTGAATCTAAAGCTGACAAGAACAGACTTATCACTAAAAGTATATCTACAAGAGATTTGGCAATTCAAAATAAAAATGTGTGCAAACAATTTTTCTTGGAAAATAAATATCTGACATTTACGTTGGAAAAGGAATTTCCTTTTTTATTGATGTCATAGCTGTTTTTTGGCATCTATACTTGGCAGTTTGTCTACTAACATACTCTAAGTACACAACATTTATTAAAAAAAATGTTTATGAGATGTCTTCAAAAATTTATCATTGATTGCTTATTCCTAATGAAACAAAACTGTCACCTATTTTTAGTGAGTTTCTATTTTTTTTTTAAAACCCATCAGAAATAAATATTAAAAGGATTTATATGAGACCAAATGAAACCTATTAATGATCAGCTGCGGATTTGAATTAAATGGAAATAAAGACATTGACCCTAGCTGGGTTTCATTCATCCTTAGGATAGCCATTATGATTTGATCAGCAATTTAGGCATTAAATCGTAAATAATATATCTTGTGACTTGTTCTGTGTCTGTGTTGCTATCTATTTAAAGTCATGTAGCCCCATCCTATCACTACGCAAACAATGAATATCCTGGAACTATCTGCAAACGAGAAGAGAGAAAGAATGAGATACGATGATAACGCACTCGATGAAAAACAGTCAGGTACAAGACATTTTAAAATCATCACAATGTGTATCTTATAGCAGTTGCATTATTGTCAATTCTGACTTCCATTTCTTTCTTTTTGAATCTTCAAAATCCTATTTACATCTGACATAATATTTTTTGGCACTTTCCTCACGTTGCTAAAAAAAAATGAAATAAAACTAACATGACACCATTATTACACATATCGACTTGACACCAACAATACAAATCATTATAACTGTTAAAATCTTCATGTAAATAAACACATTCTGTTGAAATTAATACATAAACAGAGCTTATTATCTTTCTCAAAAAACATTTGTCTAGTGATTTACAGTCGATAACCAAGCCATTATTTACAATTATATCAGTGAACTATAGACAGATTAAATCATCATCACCATCCCTCGTTTCAGTCTCAATATTTGATATTGAAATATACCCACGCAACAAAAAAGGTACATGTATAAAGTGGGCTTACATATAAATTGGGTTGATAAAAAAGGGTCAAACAGAATCAAGATGACATTGTTTTTAAGAGCTTCTCATATGTAGTATTCACACAAGTAGCCCAACCCTTGGGTGTAGCAGCATTTGGCACTCGTGAGTAGTTACATATATTTGGCCTGAATCTTTTTTGCTCTCCAAAAGCATTCCTTCTTTAATATCGGAGAGAGAGTAGTGTGCAATTTGATAACGCTACAGAGGGGACCTATAATTGGTAATGGCAATACTTGAAGTGGCTTCAATCGAAGGCCTGACTAAAACTGTGTTTTTATCACAAGAATTGTGACATTTTGTTTTGTTTGTCTGTTTTGTTACTTCTGAAGTATGCCTATTTGGAAGTAAGGCCAATTACTAAAGTCAGGGAAAAGATAACAATGTTAAAACAGAAAAGCCACAACCCTCGAACAACAATCAATTTAATCTATTAAAAAAGAGAACATCCCGCTTATTTTGCAGTAAAACTCCTTTTACACACGGGGATGATAAAAATTGGCAAAGATTTTGACAGAGAGTAAAACTGTCTTTCCTCTGCAGCAAAATATTCATGTTTAAAAGACAGTGAAAGACAACATTTTTACAAAAATGAAATTATTTTTCAGAAATCAGCCATACATCCTGACGATCTGTTTTCCAATACTGTGTTGTCCAAGCAAACGGGAGGTTTTCGACTCGAGAAAACAAATTCATAATACTACACTGAGTTCTCCTAGTGAATGAAATTCACTAATCAAAAGAATGTTTAATACTTTCAACTGTTATTATCCAAAAATGTGATAACATCGTTCGATCATATCCAGCTTATCTTTGACTGAAAGAAATACTGACTTGAATCACAATGTACTTGTGAGCAAATCAAAATGATTAATTAGTACAAAACTTTTGTAGGTTAAGCTTGGAATGGTGAAATCATAGATAAGATGAATAAATGCAGAGAGAGAAAGAGAAAGAGAAAGAAAGATAGAGATATAGATAGATAGAGGGAGAGAGAGAGAGAGAGAGAGAGAGAGAGAGAGAGAGAGAGCGATGTCACCACATTAGAGCAAAAAACAAAATATTAGATATTTGGCAAATAAAGAACAAAATAAGTTTTCAATCTGGCTCTCTCTCCTTCTTTCTCCTGCTACTGAAGTTGAACGAGGGAGAGTTTCAGAGGTCCTGAGACAAAAGACTTGCTACCATACTTCTTTATCAAACAATCAATCCAATAATACTGATCCAAACACTTACTACAACAAATGCATGTCTTGAATATAAATTTGGATTAACCGACAGAATACCCTTTTTGCAAGAGGATTTCCGCAACATTCATGGCATACCACAATTTCGTCTTTTTAAAATCGTTTGTGATGGTAGGCAGAAAGTTGTAATTGATGTGCCAAAATACGAAACCTACCAAAGGATATTGATGTGATAAGTTAAATTGTATATCCCTGATCATATTATTTGCCTCTTTATTGAGAAATAAGTTAAATCTACTAATTGATTTCATTCTCCCATGTACAATGAATTAAAACACATAAATACTGTGATTCATGATATTAACATTTTATAAATTATATTTATTTGAACTTAAAAATCTTTAAAAATCATTATTGGCACATATATAAATACAAGTTGTGAATTATTGAGTCGTTGATTAGGCCCATTTGGCTTGATCATATAAAATATAAGAATTATAACAAGCATTACTTCAAAATCTTCACACGGGTTATGTAATATGACCCAAAATGTATGCACTCATTTATTCTTTCTCATGCATGCTAGATATCTGTTTCTATACTAGCTCAGTGTATTAATACCGCTCCCCCCCCCCCTCCTCAACTCAGATTGCGACAGAGCAGAACTGAATTGACATAAAGGAACAGACATCAACACATTGGGGATACCATGCATACGGATCACTCCCAACACCACAATCAGGTAAATGAAGGAAATCTCTTGCCGATATCTCCTTTAATTCTGTGGAATGACTAAGAAATGAAGAACAAACGATTCTTGCGGAGATCCCTGATCCGGTCCTTAGCACAGGGAGTGACTGCCTGCCTCATGTCTCTGTTGGATGGATGGCAGAAGTCAAGCTTTTGTCCACTTCCTGCATCTCCGGCTTCTGCAGAACCCTCAGGAATCGAGTCTGATGAAGTTACCCGGACTCGCAGAATGGTTGGACACACGATCATTATCATGCTGGTGATATCCCTCAAGCTATCTTATATGCATGTTGAAAGCATTTGGAAATCCATTAATCCAGACTTGTCCAAACTTGCAAATCAACAAAACAAACTTTTTGAAAATGTAGTTGATTCTCATTCAAATTGTAGGAAATGGTCTTTAATACTTCGGTTATTACAGATCATATTGGATCTCTCTTTGGCCACTTAGGAAATATGTCATTGACTTGGCATAGTTAGTACATGGGATGATCCAATACATAGGGTGTATTGGTGCTTCAGCAACCACGGATCATCTTAGGGTTCAACTTCCATGCGTTATTCTTTGATAAAATCAGCCTCTTGTCTGTATGTTTGGCCTCGTCCTACCATCTCCCAACAGGTCGAGGTCCCGTCCTCTAGGCAAGTCAGTCTTTACCCTCAAAACGTCAAAGTCAAATCATCCTTTGTAATGTTAATTGACAATTATTGTTGGGATTGACCTATCAATGATTCCAGGATCTCTCTTTCCGACTGCTGCACCCACCGCTTCCTCACGCACGGAGGCCAAACATCTATTTCGAGTCCATCTCCCTCCAGAAAAGGGCCAAACGTTAAACGTTGAAGATCTCTGAGATGAGGGGGAAGAGGCTCTCAAACTGGGAATCGGGAAGCTTCATGGACATGAGGTCGTCGACGTGGTGCGTGACCAGGTCTCGTACATCGGTCAGCTTCATGATGAGCTTGGCGAAGAAGACCTTGTCTTCGGGATGGTTGATTTTGGTCAGGGTCTGGAGCGTCTCTACCATCGGCCTCTGGATCTGCTCCACGTCTTCTCGACTCACAATCTCCGGCCGATCTAAGGGACAAAGCATAAAGGACATATCAACATGGAAATCACATCACTCAAGGTACTGCTAAACATTAGCTATTCATACACATTGAGGCAATCAATCAGCAAACTCCTTTTACATTATAATCTTTTATGATTTTATATTAATTGGAAATAAAAGTAAAATAAAAGTATATCAGCACAAGTCAATACCTCATAAGTAAAATAAAATAGCAGGTTTACTGAAAGCGTTTTAAGACAACGTAATTACTTTGAGACATCATTGAGCTCTCATGAAAAAAAGTTACAATTGCAATTAGAGCAAAATGATTCTTACTGCCTCAAAAATGATCTTTTGACAAATGAATTCTGCTCATCATTACAGCAGGATGAAATATAAATAAATGGAAGTGTATATCCTTGGCCCTGATTCTGAATTTGGAATCTACCACTATCTAACTGACTAATATCTAATTGACTAATATCCAACTCCCTGCCAAAGAACAGTCTGAGTCTTACCTGGTGAAATGATTGTGATTGCTTGCAGTAATGCATACTCTTGTTTGGTCAGCATCATACCATTGACTGCCTGGATAAACTTGAGCGTTGGTTCTGTCGCAGTCAGAAACCCTGATGACAACATGGACTCGAAGGACCATTCGCTGCCTGTGATGTCGTCAACGATTACATTGCGCTCCGGAACGTAGTTCTCGGCACACCTCAACATGAGGACTTCAAGGATAGCGTTCTTGATGAGCACTGCCTGCTCATCGTAGGGCAGCCTGCGGAAGGCTGGAATGGCCTTGGTGAAGGCAACAGTTTGCCGGATGACAACACCCATTAACGTCATGTTGTAGATGATCATCTGCTGCATAGTGGGTTGGGAAGGGAGCATGGCCATTTTATCTTTTTCATTCAAGCCCGGTTCCTTCTTGATCTTGTCCGATATCCTTTGATTGTCCACCTGACAAGACGTTGAGGTGAGGCTCGGCGAGTGGTCCAGGGGTTCCTCCTTTAAACAAATGTGTTGGGGCTTGTCGTGCGGATATCTTTGGTGGAGCTTGTCATTGTCTGCTTTGTCCAGTGCAGAATCCATTTTGATCATGCGAGGGTCGCTGGCCATCATGCCACCAGGGTGGGGTGCCATCATCATGTCCTTGGGCGGGAAGGGGGAGCTGGGATAAAGACTGAAAGGATTGGCACCATTGCAGTTCATATTGGCAAACATTGCTTCTGTCTTGTCCTGGAATGCTTGCATCTTCCTCAAGATTTCATCAATTTTCCCATTTGGCTGTTTGAAGACAACAAGAAGAAAAAAGAGAAGGGAGAGAGAGAGAGAGAGGCATTAATAACAAGTTGCTCAAGATTGTTCACTTTGTCTTTACAAATACATGTTAACTATTAGTCTTACCATGAGAAAACAATAAGACTTGGCAGAAAGAGAGCAGCCGGGGGAGTATAAAAAATGCATGACATCTTATAGAAATGCTCTAGAAAGATACTATGGAGTATAACTGAATCCTTTTAAAGATTGTTAAAAGAACAAAGAAAATGCATGGAGAAAAACTACACCCTGTAAACAACTTTTGAATACATGCAATACGCATCATTCTTACTTTTGAATCATTAATTTCAAGAGAGGACATGTACACCAAAAAGTTCTCACACTTTCTTCTTTCCGGTTGAAGAAAAATTCAAGCCATGTGCAATGCTATGGGTCCCTGGTGAAGATATCCCAGGAGCCCAATTATAATGTATGGAAACCCCACTTGTTACACTCTGCTCTATTTAACAGGCAACATTTCTTCACTAATCGCTCAGGTTCTGATCAATCGCCGTCTGCAATTGAATATTCATTTCAGCACTTGACACTAATACGCCTTGCTTGCAGCGGGTCCTGCGATTTATGTCCTCATGTTTCATGTATATCTGCTGCAAAATGAGAAGCGTCTGCGCGCCACGCAATCCGGGTGTAATCAATACGCCACTCCGCGAAACTGGGTTAAGTTGCCGACGATTCCTCTAGTCTGCTCTACTTCCGTAAATGTTATTTTGAGGACGAGTCGGCTGAAAATTCGGGCAAGCGAATCGCAGACGAAAGATGAGAATTTGGAAAATGGAGCAACGGTGCAGGCACACATAACCCTTCAGCTAAGTCGTCTGAATACACTGTCTAAGGTGACAGGGCGCTATGTTCTGAGAAGATTTTAATTGATGCACAAACAGAGCTCCTAGCATCTGTTGCACGAATGTTTCCCATTACGTATTCCAAGCAGAAGAGGGCGATGTTATTCTAGAAGCGCCACGGGACCATATGGGCGCTGGGGCTTGTCCGATATGTCCCTTGGAGATGTATCACGGAGGCCTGCCGAGCGTGATCACCATCATAGATTCCCTCTGCATCACGTGCTACTCAGCATCTCTCCACCGGCAAAGGTGTGCTCGGTGGTGTCACCTGACCACAGAAACGCATCATCCGCAGATAACTTTCCCTAAAATTACGCATCTCCGGATAGCTCATGAATAATGCATGCGTCTTAAGAAGAGGGGAGAGGGGAGAAGGGGAGCACGTCTGACGAAGCCCTTGCAGGTAGCGGCAAGCTTTGATTACATATTTCTTCGCTGTAACCTATTTCTCAGGCCTCTGGTTGGCTGCGGAATGAGGGAGGAGGATTCCCTTGCATCGAAGCACAAGGGACAACTAAAAGACAGGCAGTAATCAGTCCTATTTGGGGTATGGTTACTTGACTTCAGACACAATTTTGATGAAAACTAGGCCAACGCATCCATCATTTTCTCTCCTTTCCAGGTTCTGTTGACAGAATGTTCCTATCACCTTGTACAACCCAATACAGCGCTTGGCCTAATTCTGGAGTGTACGGCAGCACAACAACACTTTGACAAGAGTACTTTGCCTGTTTCTTGTATCCAATCCACAAGCACTTTGAAACATAGCTGCATCAAACACCTTTTCTCAACAAGTTCATTTTTCTTTGTTTCCAAACACACAGAGTCAAGCCTCGAGATATCCCAAGGGGTAGCAGATATACTGATCAATGCAAATTTTTTTCCTTCAAATTTTTTCCCCTTTGGTCTTAGTATTTCCTAAGGAGTACGTACAATTTCTTGATATCTAATCTAATTTGTAACAGAAGATGATTCACATTAAATTTATGGGGCTTTCAACAACAGAAGAAGAAAAATATCTGCCACCACATTCAGGGGAAAAAAGAAAGAAAATACAAAGTACACAATACTTCACCAAAGAATGGACCTACTGATATCTATCGCAAGCAAATGATACAGCGTAGTGGTGTTTCATAAACTGTTGCGTGACAGTGATTTCACTGTCACATTGATCACGAGGTGAGGTGCGAGAATTTTTGTCCCGTCCATCTCACTGACCTTTTGGAATTAGTTGGTCCTTGCGGGCAGTTTAATTTACGGCCAAACAAACATGCCCGCGTCATTAGATGCGTACACAGTCCTAACTGAAAATAATGCACATTGTGCAATCCACAAAACCTTCTACATGAATCTTCATCCCAAGCGTGCATGATTGCAGGGGATAGGCCTACACCGTTTGAGGATCAGAAAGACGCTGCGTCCTATACTCCACCATAGAGTTAATGCCCTTCTGGCTCTCTCAAGACAACGTGTCCATGTACTTGATCTCATCAACATTTTCTGCTAGTGTGGCTGGGCTATCAACATCAGAGACAGATGGATGGACAGACATCGTCTCAAAAAGTGCAGTGATCTTCATATGCCAGTAGAGATTCATAAAAATGCGTGTTTAAGCGCAAAAGTCAGATCATGCCAATGCAAATGGAATGCGACAGGGAGAGATTTAGAGAGATGGAGAGGGAGATATAAAGGGAGATATGAAGAGAGACATAAAAGCAGAACGAATGATGCTGATAGAGAGAGAGAGAGAGAGAGAGAGAGAGAGAGAGAGAGAGAGAGAAAGAGAGAGAGAAAGAGAGGGGGGATGTAGGAAAGAAGAGATAACAGAAAAGAAAAGAAAAGAAAAGAAAGAACAGGATGAGATAATACAGAACAAAGCATAAGATGCAGCGGAAAAGAGAGATACACATAGAGCGAGGGAGCAAAAGAAAGACATGACCAGGAAACAAAATTGAATTTTAAACATCCTGCAGTAAACCTTTGGTGCAATGCTGGTAAGTTTAAAGCAATTATAAAACATCTATGACATGGAAATAATAGGGTTCAAACTGTTCATTCAGTAACCGAACAACTGCCGTCTTCTGTTCTTGCTTATGAATGGGAACATGAACACTTGCTACCCATTGACACACCATGGGTCTGCATACGCTTTGTAGTTTGTACCCTAGCTCTCCCTGTGATGGCTACAGGCACAATCGATAGTTTGCCAATTTGCCCCCAGCTTCAGCGGCGTTTGTTCTCTGAATGAATGATGAGGTAAATATTAACACTGGTAGGTGTTTGATGAGAATTATTTCAACAGGATGAATTTGCTCTAATAACCCAGAAGCTAGAGAGAGCTTGATGAACCAGCAGAAAGAAAGCAAAACTATACTTCTGTTCAGCAACAGAAGGATGTTGACTCTCCATTATTAAAGTAAATTGTATATATATGAATTAACGCCCTTCTGGCTCCAAACAGAGGATTACTGGATGTAATATAATGTAATACAGAAAATGAATTATTTTGTTTTTGCTCTAATGTGTCTGATTATCGCGTCATCTCTCTCTATCTATATATATATATATCTCTCTCTCTCATGAACAACAGAAATTAATAAATGCCTTGTAATCATTTCATAACTTCCCTTATCTTAAAGAAATATTACCAAAGGGGAAATACATATAGTTATTTTTTGTTTACCTCTTTAATAAAGAGAGGGATATACAAAACTTGATACATCTCAAAAACTGATCAGAATAATTGATTTTGCCATTTCTGCGGTCATGGGTGAAAATTAAATTACATTTTGTAATATATTTCAAAAGACTAATCGAAAAGAGTAAAATTTGGAGTAAATAGAGGACTTAACAAAGCATTTTATGAGAAATTAAATCAAATTCTTATTCATATCTCCTATTTTTGTTCCATATATGTGACACCACACCACAGCATGCCACAGAGAAGAAAGCCCCCCCCCCCCCCCCCCAAAGAGAGTAAAAAGAGAGAGAGGGAGGGAGAGAAAGAAGGAGAGAGAGAGAGAGAGAGAGAGAGAGGGACAGAGACAGAGTGAGAGAAAGAGAGAGAAGAAGAAGAGTAGAGAGTAAGAAGGGAATCCATGGGATAAAAGTGCAAGACATGTGGAAGACTGGCTAAGAGTAAGAGAGAGAATTTGTTGCTGGGTACAATCATAGGGTCAGACCAAACAAATATCCAAACCAAATATTTCTGGATTGGGCTATTAGAGAGAGGTGATGACAGCATACAAACCCAGCACACAAACCGCACCAACCCTAAGTCAACCATATATGCAGGGATAGGGATAGAGAAAGAAAGAGAGTGGAATATTAAAGACATGAACAGAGAATATGGAAAGAAAGGGAGATAAATGGGGGAGAATTAGGTTCCGGTGGAAAGAATAAAAACAATTTGTGCACAAGGTGTTGGAACCATGCAATGCTATCAGTCCAAAGTAGAGTCGGACATATGCAGGTATAACATCTGGTAACTTATTGGTTACAGTTACAGAGGCTAGGAAAGGTGTTTACAGGAAGGGTCATGGGTGGAAAGAAATTAAGTTGTCACAGGGCAAGAAGATGGGAGTGAAGAATATTAAGAGCCATACAGCCAAACTGAAGATTTATCACTTTACCAACAAAGTAATGAAAATGGAGCAATTTAAAGATGAATAACAGGGGGCTATATGATGAAAGAGGAGAAAGGGTGATCTTAGAAAATATGTCTAGGCTGTGTAATGATTTAACAATCATTGACAACAACATAGAATACATTTTTAAAACTCTGACATTTTTGAATCCCTAAAACTAACTTTAGAAACCTAACTAACATAAGACCCATCCATGATTGGAGGTCACCACCAGGTGAAAAGTGACATTAATATTACAATCATATCTACATGTACTGATGAGCTGGGCGCATGATTAGGTCTGACTCTTTCACCAAATCATGCCATACCCATCTTTCCCATCCAAACTTCATGCCTGAAATCACATCAGTGATTACGAAATGAACTCGGTTTATCATCCAACATTCAGCAAGGTAAAACTGTCATCAGACATCTGAATTCATCCCTCACCTACAGACTCTCCGGAACGTACGCTAGCTCATTATCACATTCTCTGTTTGTTGATTGTCACTCGATTGCCATCAACAGCAGCAAAAATTCGCGCCAGACAGTGCTATTTTTCTGGGTGATTTTTAGCGAGGATGCGACGGCGTTTAATTTGCCATTAGAGGCAATCGCCTGGGAACGGTGTTGATCATTCCGAGAGGGCCTTGACTGGTTTGTGTTATCATTGCGTATGGGCAGCTGACTGCTCAGTGAGCGGGCGATACATGGGGGTAATTGTGCTTGAGTAATGTTGACCAGTGGATGGTGAAAGATATCATTAGCGTTGATCTAGATACGACCATGCTCGATCGGCGGCATAAAAACAGGTTTGGGAGACGGCAAAATACACAGGATAGATGAAGAGAGAGGGAGATAGGTAAAGAGAAAGAAACAGATAAGGGGAGAGAGAGAGAGTAGGGAAGGCACGTCTGATTTTTCAGCATGTTTACGCACCTATTCCTAACCTTGTGCCATTTAGCATCAGACAATTAGATAGACATCACAACCAACCTCTCTGCGATGGCATTCAAAATAAAAATACCGGTAGTAGAGCGCTGGTGGAGAATGTCTTCTGACCCAGTTGGTACATTAGAGTTCGTCCTCCCAGGCATTTTCACTCCAAATTTCTATCTCCCATCTTTTTCATATTGTGCTATACCTTGCAGCTACACATTTTTATAGGTCAATTTCACGGCCTCGTGGGTACAGAGTCAATGATTATATGCTGCACATGCATCTTTGCTAGCAGTTTAGACGATTGAATAATCAAATAATTATTATAATGTTGCACGTCCATTAGTATTCCATTTCTCAGGGAATCCCTCTTGTGCAGAAAACAGAGATAATATCACAGTTACCATCCCATTTAACATGAACACAAGGAAGATGTATGTTGTAAAACACAAAGCATACGCTGAAGGAGGTTCCTGATCAAGCAATCCATTTTTTGCTGTTGTGCCTAGCAGCCTCATGGTTCTGCTTCTCCAAAGTGACCCTCATTTTTAAAAGAGAGAGAGGAGGAGGAGATAGATTGACTCATTGAGAGAGAGAAAGAGAGAGAAAGAGAGAGAAAGAGAGAGAGAGAGGGAGAGAAAGAGAGAAATAAAATGAGAGGGATAGAGAGCGAGCGAGAGAAAGAGAAAGAGAGAGAGAGAGAGAGAGAGAAAGAGATTGGAGGAGAAAGAGAGACAAACAGATAGACATAAAATGAGACATAAAGAAAGGGAGACTGACAGAGAGATCTATACATCCTGGCTTCGATCCAGAGGTTCTTCAGTGTTGTGGCATAGACACAGCTGGAGCTCCATGTAATTGTATGTAACATGTCATCATCATGCCATGTATCCATCCAAAATGAAAGAGAAAATCATGGGGGAATGTCTGAGAACCATTAAGATCTTCACATAGATAATGGGTGCTGAGCAACAACCCCCCATCTTACTCCAATTTCCCCACTAAACAGCGGGAGACAAACTTAACAGGATAGCAAACAATCGCTGTCCCCTCTATTGTAAAAATGTTGCACAAAAAAAAAGGTATGAAGGCCATGAAGGTATTCAATTTGTGAAGCATTGCTGTTTGGGGTATTTATCTCACCCAATTGGAATTTGTGCAATACAGGTCCAACTGTAAGAGACACAGATGTCCTGAACTAGTTTCACTGCATTGCTATGTACAAGGAATAGAAGTCAAGGGCCCTAGCTGTCTTAATACAAAGAGTTGATATCAACCGCAACTAAGAGATAGGAGACTGCAAACTTGCGATTGATTGGAGGACTTGCGATTGATTAGAGGACTTGCGACTGATTTGGATCAATCGTAGCTCTTTGTAAGACGGGGCCCAGAAGCTCTTTGTAAGACGGGGCCCAGAAGTATATATCAGACCTAGACTTGCGAGGGAACGTGCATGTAGGACCAGGACTTATGAGGGATATATATTAGGACCTGGACTAGTTACCTTAGCATTGCTATTTGTAGCCCCTGAGTCCGTCTTGGCCCTTTCCAGCGCTGTGATCAGATCCTCCTGGTCCTTGTTGAGCTTAGGGGAGAAGCTGACGGGCATGACGATGCTACACGAGGGCGACGACGATGTCGACGATGATGACGTGGACACCGAGGAGGCTGAGGGTTGGGGAGGGGTCGGTTGCTGGGTGACCAGGAGCTGTTCTTTCTGCTTCTTCTTGTTCTTGCGTTCTAGCGGTTTCCTCGTCTCTAACCTCTTCTCGTCCCATACACCTGTAAGGATGATAAAGAAGAAAACAAAAAACACCTTTAATTTCTCTATCGATGATGACTAGAGAGACCTACATTGATAAAATATACAGGATGGTATATATTCAAGATTTTTTTTAAAGAGCCTAATTAAATTAACTTTTCTTTTTCCGTAATATTTCTGTTACTTTCTTTTTTTAATATTCAACAATGTCTGACAATTTTCCAAGACTATAATGCCAAAAGTGAAACTCTAAATTCCTTTAATGTTTCTGCATGAAAACCACACAATGCATATCATCAGTTAATTGCCTACATTTTCGTAAAGAGAGGTTTCTAATATATTTTTTGAGTGAGTTGGAGAAATGTATTCTTTCATTGTTAATTTGATACACAGAGAAATAATTGTTATCTAGCTATACACATTATCCTACACTACAAATGCCATGACAAGATCACCCCCAAATTTCTGTTTGTACAAATGACTCTATAAAAACGACATGTACCTCAGCACTCATAGAAGCTATGACATGCCACTATAAATAGAAATAAAGGGATAAAAAGAAGAACTTTGAATAGGACTGATCAAAAGTTCATAAAAAGTTCAAGTTCCCCCTATGATACCCAAACACATACTCTATCCCTGACTTGTAGCTTCCCGAGAAGCTCAAACTCTATAAAATCAACAGGAAAGGTTGGAAGGAAGAGAGCTGTGAAGAAAGAGAAAATCTGCTTGGATTCCCTATGAGATGATCGCACAGCACAAGAGGGCATGAGTCAATCCTATGTTGTTTGATACATATACGTTAGTTTCACGCATGCATGTGTTTGTGACTGATGGGTATGGCAATGGGATTTCCCCCTTTTGACAAGGAGGGATGAGCAGGGGAGGGGGGGGGGGGTTGCTGTTTTATCTTTACTACTGTTAGTACAGATGCCTTGCTTTAAAGTGTTCTATATCAGGAAGAATAGGTTATATATAAATTACTTTTATCTTTTTAATAGTCAGAAGAGGAAAAGTTGAACTATAAAAATAATTCCTTAGAGCACCTCAAAAATTGGGAAGGGGATATCCAAAAAAAGCTGACCTGGGAAGAGGATAAAGACGCAATGATTTTTTTCTTTAAAAGAGGGGAAAAAGAGAAAAATAATTGATTTGCGCAAACATGTATCATCATTTCATATACATATCTTAAGATTGACATGCAAGTCTTTAAACTTTACTTTTGAGTATCGGTAATGATCTAAAGAAAAATAAGTCTGAAGAAAATGTAAGTTGGCATTTGAAATATAGCATGTCAAATAGTCTCTGTATTTCAAAACTAAAAGAAAGTCATATTTAAAAAAAACTTGAAGCTAACTACTATGTTTTTCATTCTTGGTGCATGATCTGGTATCCAATAGCGCCCATCACTCCCGCGGCCTCTCAACCGATACTGACACACATCTCTCGGCTCTCCTTTCGCTGGCTGCCAAAGCCTTAGGTGTTACCGGGGATCTCATTTTGAGATCCATTATGTCAGCAGTTGGATTTGGCTCCCCAACTTGGAGGATTGAGCCCGGATTCCGACCAGGTTGGAACCATTTTCCGACCCACCCCACCCCACCCTCCCTACCACCGCTCATCATTCTGTCTGTCTGTCTATCTCGGAGACGACCCACGAAAGACGACTCCCTTTTACCCCGATGTTAGAACGAGGATCAAATTTGTGCTGCCTTGCCGCATTAGCAGGGCTTTTAAGGCCGACATAAGACCTAAATAGGTAGCAGAGTGAAAAGCTATAAAGTCGGGTCAAAATGTGATCTGTATTGATAGGAGACACTTTGCCTGGATTTGCTCTTTATGCTATCTCACAAAGCGTATCACTTCAAATTTGTCTACATTTCTTCGGTAGATCTTCACTAAAGCCCATTGCCCATAGAACCTTTTTTTCTTCTTCAAGCAAACATGTGTCGTCTTCTTCCTTAACTTCTCCTCTAAAATTGTAAATAAAGCTTTAGTAGAGAAAATTGCTATAATTTTCCTCAAGTTCAGTGTAAGTTCTCTGCCCATTGTACCACTTATGGATGATAAAAAAGCCTGAACTTTATACTGCTGCAATTCTAAAATTGTTTTTCTTTTCTCTTCCATTTTATAAAATCAGTTTATACGCTGCAATTGAGAGCCAGAAGGGCATTAAGCCATATCCTTGAAAACAGAGCTACGTTTAATGCCTGTCTAAATCTTGGCTGACAATTTCTTTTGTATTCCCTTCCAAATATCGTCTTTGTCCGACACATACATACCTTTAAATTATGATGGCACCAAACTTGAATAATCTTTTCTAACTCTTCCATAGATACATCATCTTCTCCCCCTCACCTTACCCCCCCCCCCCTCCCCACCTTCACTCTCTCTACCTCTTTATCAACCTTACAATTTTTTCATTTTCTTATTCACATTCTCTCATCTTGTTCTGCAACTTCTATGTATATTTTCCTCCTGACTTTTGTCATCTGAAATACATACCTCCTAAACTGAGAAATCCATGTTACCATCTGGTGAAATCTACCTTTTCCCAAATTTAATTCTAAATCAGTCGACTGCCCGTCGAAAAAGGGGGGATAAAATCTGACAAAATCTGAGGGATCATCTTCCCTCTCCCTTCTCCTACGTCACCACGAGGCATGGTGACATCCCAGCTGTACGCCACATTGATTTTACTTTTTCTTACGTTTAACTTGATGACGTCACTCAGCTTCCTGCTTTGCACTTTTTAGAGAAATGTACGTAATTAGATGGGAGTAAGAAGGATGTATGTTCACGCACTGTGTGTCTTAACATGTTCTGCAAGATTGTACCTGGTTGTAAAGACATTTTGTGTTCTTTAATTTCTTCACAGGCTCCACCCCTGTTGCACCATGGACCTGTTTACAAAAGTCCTGGAAGTAGTCATACATTGTAAAGAACTTGCATAATCATGATAAATGCACTTGATAAGAAAATAATTCAAACTATCAGAAGAATATTATTGCCAGTTGCATTTTTTCTGAAGGACGACACAAAATTTGGAGATTTAATGGTGAAAGAAGAAAAAAAAACTAATATAAGTTCATCTCATGGTGAATTAAAATTGAAATATGATTGGAATGTCAGTCTTCAGGCACTGGAATCATCAAATAAGATGATGACTATGGATGGGAGAACTAGAGAGCATTGTGATGTTGACATTGGTTTAAGGCGTTAACAAAACAATAAGCAACATCCAAGCCGGAGCTGCCATCGCCCCTCTTTCTCTTTCTCTCTCTCCGTCCATGCTTCTCCGAAGACAACGCAAGTATGTCAAGTGAGTCACGCGAGACGAAATTGACGTCAGTGCCACGCCGATCACGGACGACCGTAGGAGATTGGTTGAGACTGGGGGAAGAGGAAGAAATTCGGCAGCAATTTGTGACTGGAAGTCTCGGCAATCTGTTGATTGTAATCTTGAGAGGAGAGACTGTTCACGTTTGGCCTGGCCACTGTTTTTTCCTTCTTCACTGGGATTGAATGTCCAGTCAACAGATGATGACATGGGGGTTGTGATTGGATAATTGTGAGGTAACGTGGAACAATTAGGAGCTAATCCGCACATTGTTGAGGGTGTGATGATTTGACATGCACAGGGTAGATTCCTTTATACTTATGTCAAGATACAGTTTTACATTCTAAAGCAACTGGTGCTTTCACATTACTCCCTGAAGTAATTACATCCTATGATAGTTCAAAAGCTACATAACTTAATAGATGAACACACATTTAATACTTCAATTTTCAAAGTGAATTTTTAGGCAAATTTTCAGGTTCTCCTTACATGCCCGAACCAATTCCGTTGTATGACATTTATTCCTCACGATCCTGTAAAAAAAATTCCTCCAATCCCAATCTTTGGTAATACAAATATAATCTGATTCCTATTTATTTAACTATCTCATCTTCATGTTTTGAGATCTGCAAGAAATGAGATGCTTAACATATCGTCAGGCCTCATGTACATTGAATATCAACCAGTCAAAATGTCATTTATTAGACATTTAATGATGATTTGAATCTATTTGGTCTCTGTAAGGATGTGAAAGGTCAAATGAGAGCTCCCTCCTGGCCTAGTAGTGGTGTCCCCCCCCCCCCCCCCCTCCTACCCATACAGGGACAGTAGAGGGCTTCCAGTCTTTACCCTTTCATCAGGTCGCCCATCCAGCCAGCCATCCAGCCAGTGTCAAACCTTCGGGCTAAACCCTCCCTGTTTTTGAGAAATATCACATCTCGCACCCTCCAAGAAAAACAACAACAAGGAAAACTCTGACCCTGGCCTGCTGCCCCCTGTGGCTGACATCAGCACAGCTTCTGAACTGTTTATGAGAAACCAGTGACAACAGACAGACCTAGCTGCAGTCCTCAGGCTTCACCAGGCCAGGGTAAGACCTATGGCTATGGATGATGTGTGGTTTCATCATCAAGCCCAAGACTAACGAAGGAACAACAGGGTGGTAGATGAGTCAGAGGAAAGTAATGATGGTATTGGTAGAGGATGGTAATACTGTAGCAGGAAATAAAGATGTAAACTTTTTTTGATTCTCAATAGTAATTAATGTCTGATAATTGAACCATAAAGAAAAAATTGATTGTTTATACCATCACTTCAAAAATCTGACTGACATGACGTGTGACTTCAATCACGGAATCAATATTCAATGGACTTATCATGAACCCGATAATTCTGTTAATGTTTACCTAAAAGCTAATTCATTCATATCACATTTCCTAATATTTTGATTCTGTATGCATGTGTATAATTATGAGTAAAGAGAGGGGGATGGTGGTTTTGACAGGTTTATCATTGTTTAGCACCTTCATAGCCACCCACATCTAAAAGAAGTATAATCAAGGTACAGAACACCAATCTAGTTATTTGAATATAGCTCAAGCATTCATTCATTTTTAGGATTATGTTAAGAAGACAATATTTAGTTATGAAAAATATTTTCTCTCCTGTCAAAACCAAAAA